CACACACACACACACACACACACACACACACACACACACACACACACCGCCCCAACATAGAGGAATTTAATTGACTGTGTGATAAACTTATTATGTTCTGTTCCTCCACTTTGTCTGTGATAACTTCAGCTGTTTTCACTGACTCACCAGCTCCACCATATGCTCTCCACTTAGCAGGCTGAGCCCTGTTTGCTATTTAATACCGATAAGCATCTAGTTTGTTTGGGTCCTTGTGCTGCATAAAGACAAGTGTGAAAGGGCTCCAGCTTTTGTTAACCGGTCTTCATAAAGACAAAGTGTTGTGTGGCAGGAAAAGTGAGGCGATAGAATGTCAAACAGCTGACCCTGAACAGAATGTAGGAGACTAAGGTAAAGAACCTGGACGGACTAGATTCCTCCGTCTCCCATCCAAACAGGCAACAAAGAAACCATCCACCTCTTTAATGCTACGCTACCGGATTAACGGGAGATTTGGTTACCGTCCCAGAAATGATTGCTCCGTTAGAAAATAATCAACCTTCGTAATGAGAAGCTGTTGAAATGAACGGACGATGAGAACAGTTCAAAATATCCCCCGGTGATGATCGACTACTGTTACTGGAGATAAGTGGCAACGGTTCTTAGTGAACTCTGACGGCACAGTTACAGTTGATCCACTTAGAAGAGGCCTGCAGGATTTGGCACGTTAGCTGATGCACGTAAAAACCTCGCTGACCCCTTATTTAGTATTGTGTCCTGCAACAAAGAAAGGTGCCGTTTCACAGTCATCAAGACGGCAGGATAACCGCAACTTAAATTTCACAAAGATTGTTTTTTGCCATGAATGTCTTATTAACATTGAGGATTTTAATGAATGAATGACGCTGATCCTTTCAGAAGGTTTATGTGATTAAAAGGAGAGTTTTAAAACAGGTGATTTTTGCACTAAGCGGTATTATATGAAAGCACGAATGTACAAACATCAAATTTGAAAATGGATTAAGAAATGAGACAAAATAAAACAATATTTATGCGTGTAAGGCGAGTGTGTGTGTGGTGGAGGGTGACATGGGTCCCTGGCTTTCATGACTGTAGTTAACTCAGCTTTACAAACTCTTAGTCAAAGTATCGGTAAAAAAAACACAAATAACAGACGTTTGTTTGTTATAGGTGCGATAAACAGTTACGTAAAGAGACACAGCCCCTGAAAACTGACTTTCACGCTCACTAAAGGTGTTTGTTTTGGAGAATGAATGGGACTAAAATAGTACACCGATTGTACAGGGGAGTGGATCATTCATGCTGTGAGCTGCTGATGAGAACAGAGCTAATGAAGACAGTTAATCAGAAAGTGGGACAGATACAAGCGATCCCTGGTTACAATAATACTGTGACACAGATAAAATACAGCTGACTCTGTATTGTGTGAAATCCTAGAGGGGTGAATGCAAATAGCAGATATAGCTCAGGGCCACATGATGGAACTATCGTCTCCCAGCAGCCCGAGGGCCGTCGGCCTTACATGCTCCAACAAATGACATACCGAAGTAATGACAACTAACCGCCTGCAAATATGCGTTTCATAACTCTGTGGTTTGATAAATAACAGATACAGACACTGCGTGTGATACCGCACATGTCAACAATTATAACTGGATTTTTTTAAGTAGAAACCCAATTTAGTCCAAAAGTGTGTGACTCTTTGTGTCTTGATGTCTTTGCAGGACTCTTGGACAGCAGAGGAACTGAAACCATCAGCACTGATGTGAACCTTCAGAGGTATTGTAGCACATAGACTACTGATAAAACAAACAGGGTGGCATCTCGTATATGAAAGGACTGATTAAGTGCTGATACGGGTGTAATAACTGATAACTTTCCCCCCTACTTTCTCACAACAAATGGGATGACAAATAAATCTATTTAGCCTAGCTCATGAAAAAGTAGTTCTGACGCATTCGAGTCTGTAATCAGAACTGCAGATGCACGAATGCTGTTGCTGCATCTCTTTACTCGTGCTACTGTAAATCAAACATCCTCGATACAACATAATCTGCTGCTCTTCAAGACACAGTTACAGATCAGACTTACTTTGTAGTTTTCATACTCATCGTGTCCTAAACAAACCTACACGGCTCAATGTTAGTGCTCCTCGATGCCCTGTGCATGCTCTCAGTTTTCACTGAACTGTCACATGACCAAGAATAATTGCTGACTAAACATACTTATGTCATTTAATTAGCGGATCAGGAACAGTACTGGACCCTGACTAATTACATCAATCCACCCACTCAAATTATACATACAAATATATAGTCATGACAAACAACAATATGCATCATTGCAAACACATCTCGTCTCCTAAACGTGCAGCATCAAAGAAGGTAAGACTGCTGAGATTGAGAAAGAAACAACATCCCTCTTGGCAGGTGCAATCATTTCTGAGAAGGGATAGTTATTTAAAGCTCACTTGTAACTTCTATCTCCTCAGAGGTTGCAATGTGAATTCACTCAAACTGAAACAGGGAGTTGAACAGTTACTTGTGGACTCTTGGTTGTAATGTGTCCATTCAGAAGTAAAAATTGTACTCTGATTCCCAAAGAATCCTCACATGAACACTGTATCATTATCTGCATGCAGAGGTGCACATCTGTGTGAAGAAAGCCTGGATACTGTGCTTCAGTTTCTGCACCACATATTGACACAGCAATACGTTGTAATAAATACCATAAAACATATTCATTTTTAGAAAGAATAAAACTGCCAAGTGACTTGATGACCGGGTCCTTTAATAGATGTAAATGATAATAATGTCACTGTCAACACACTGAGAACAACATCTACCAGAGGAAAGCTATAATGTTCATTAACTAACAGAACTGTTTTACCGGCAGAGATTTAATCATGGCTCCTGTACCAATACGTGTTGTTATGTGTACCTGTATTCATACCTGAATAACTGCTTTTTTTGTTTATGCAACTCGCTTGTGGCTAAAATGTCAAACCTTTACCATCAACACAAAGAGAGCAAGGCCCTGACAGAGTGTCCCTTTACTTCACAAACGCTAGCTAGGTGCGTTAGCTGTCGCAGCTAGCTACCGAGCTCAGCCAGCATGCTAGCATCTTTCTTGACAGCACAGTACAAGTTAAATTAAGTCAACATCAAACCATAACCGATGTAGTTTGCTGCAATAAGGACAGGGCTTGATGTTTAATAAGCCAAGAACTGTATAGTTTGCTAACTTAGCCGGGTAACTAGCTAGCTAACAGCCCAGTGAGAGAGAGAGAGAGCGAGAGAGAGCGAGAGAGAGCGAGAGAGAGAGCCTTGTTTTTGACTGCTCAGCCTCAACTTACCCTCTCTGCTGCGGGCTCGGTGGGGGTGATAGGGCCAATAGCGTGCAAAAACAATCCCATTGTCAGAGCCGAACACACGCCTCTCATTCCTCCCAAAAGTAGCTACAGCTTCGGCAGAAACATACGCATGCGAACACCGTTGTTCAACAAAACTGTGACCGATTCTCCTCAACTATTTCGCCGGCCCCTGTCGCGCTGAGAGGCCGCTGCATGCGCCGCCTCCTCCTCTGCGTACTGGGCATTTCAAGAAGGCGCGGTGCCGCTGGCGCAACTGGCTGCTGCCGGTGCCACTGTGCTGATACAGCTGTTACACAAGCCGTTCCTCCGGCACATGCACCCTGCCTCGGTCCGTTGGGTGTGGCGTGGTCACCGCGACCCGATCCATGTGCGCAACGTTTGGTTGCGTGGATCGCCACTGGTTTTGCGGACTGAACCGTGATTGGACAGCCCGGCCAGCTGGGAGGAGATCGACCAATCACGGATCAGTGCGTCTCTCGTGCATGGACATGTTGTCTTCCTGGGTTCCCCTTCTCTAGTTTATGAGAACAGTCATCTCCTTCCTCATTACTTATTGACCTCGTACCAAAGGGCTGATAAGTGATGCAGTATGCCACAAGTCTACAAGCAAGTTTACTCTGTAAAAAACAAGTAAACTAATGTGATCGTAATAAAATGACGAAAACACGGGAAGAGATCTGATACCACCAGTGGCGGCTGGTGGAACATGTTCTAGGTAGAGCTGTGCCACATCCAATCAATCTCAGCAAACATCCCAGAATGATTTAATGCAAAAAAATTAAATTAATCAAATTATCAAACACGCATTACTACTTTGCAGTTAAATATTTAACCTTTATTCCAACATGAAAAAAAGCAGTAAATAACACTTTGATAAACACGTTAATACGCGTTGATAAAATAACACATCTTATTTTAGTCACCCTCACAGGTAATTCAGTATGATATAATAATATATATATCATATAATAATATAATAATATTCACTATAATATAAAACACACACACACATATATGTATATATAATTATTTATTTATAACTATATATCCATTTCTCAGCAGGTGCTTCATGTCCCTCACTCCCTAACTGTCCGTGCTGGATCTGTCCCGTTGTTTTAAAAAGCTAAATAAGTTATTAGCATGACGTCATCCAGCTAGCCAAACCTGTCTCAATAATATATATATATATATATATATAGATATATCTATATATATATATATATAT